CTTCCACAAAGGAAAGACAAAAAGCTTCCACAAAGGAAAGACAAAAAGATAAAAGGGAAAGAAAGATGKTAATGAAAAACAGATTACATAAACATTGTAAAATGTTTATAAAAAAAGAATCAGCTAAAGCAGATTATGAAGAAATAGTTTAAGTCATAAATCAAAAAAAAGCAAATATTTTGAAAGTGAGAGACTAGACCTCTTGAAGGAAAAATCACAGACATCCACATTATTATTACAAAGAGAACAGGCCATTCAATGATACTAAAAAGTGTAAAGATATCTTCCATGTAATTTACTCTCACAAGCCATGTTGCATGCTTATGAAACAAATTCAACACATCCTGTGAGAAACCAAATCTCAACTGAGACCTTTAGAGTTATTGTATAAAAATAAGTCTTTACATAAAGAAAGCTGGATGATGCACTTTTATCTTGGGAAAGTTAAGAGATAATTACATATTATTCTTGCCAACAAAAAATCAGCTGGTGAACGTATTCTCTACTTGGAGGTCTGCTTTGGTTTTATCTTTTTGACCAGGAACCAATTGTCTAAAAATTCATTGTTTATTTTACAGACATATTTGTGGAAAAGCATTAATTCCACAAGAACTGGTGACTTCAATCAATCCTCTTAATAACTGACGATTTGGTAATTTAATTTTTGMCAGAGAAGCAATGAAGAAATAAACTCATAAAAGCAACAGTTTTTAGTWAAAAAAGAATAAATTCATTGACTGTAGGAGACTAAACAAACTAAGCTTCAAAAAAGTACCTCTTGTGTAAAAATATAAAGAAAAGCAAAATCAAAAACATCAGTGTCCATTATATCTACAATCTCTGAAACCTTTGTAAATGACATAATGCTTTTCTTTGCCTGGTAGAGATTCTCTGCCATGGTTCTCTATTAAAAAAAAAAAAAAATAGTAAAGCCAAAATTAAGGGTTTGTTTTTTGTGAATTGGTTTTTGTATGAGATTTAATAAAACCCTCAGTCAAGTTGCTTTTTACTCTTGTTACCCAGGACTACAAGGACAGCTTCACTGTAGCTGTAGGCAACATTTCCTGCACTGAATCATCCCTGGAAGTATGTCTTGAGCTAACAGAAGAGGAGAAGAAAGGGGAGAAGGAAGCTTCCCGATTTTATGTCAGTCAGGTGTCCATTTGCCTGCTGTTTGCACCTAGAGATGTTTCCCATATAGGTTTCTTCCCATGTAGAATGGATGGTAAAGGAGCATCCTGGGACATTTTATGGACTTACACATCTGAAATGCTCACTCGATTTCATATGGAAGGATGGTTTAAACCTCCTGTTTTGTTTTGATAGGTACAGGTACTCAGGGTTGCTTAAGGATCAACATATGCTATGGTAGACTAACTTACTTCCAGATTTATGCATGCTCATTAAGAAATTATTCAGAATGTTGTTCTTTCTGGTCAGTATTCTAAGGAYGCACAAGCAGTACAGGACAGAAGAATGGACAGAAAGGAAGTAAGAAGGGAAGTAAAGAAGGAAAGTAAGGACTTTGTAATAGCCATGTATATCCTCAGCAGTTCTAACTGTTTGGACAGAGTTTTCAATCARCTTCACACCTTTCTATTTGTTTGGCTTCAGTCATCAACTAAATCAGCTTCAAATTCAATTTTCATCAGTCATCTTAATTAAAAAGCTTCCATAACACCATGGAATGTTGTCCTCAGAAATGTGCAAGGTTTCTGCAAGGCTAATTTAATTGCATTCTTTCATAGCCAAAACAGACACTATGAGCAGAGACTTGCCTTAAGTTTACGTCGGGCATTGAATTCTTGAAGTTTCTTTTGTGCGTTGTCCATATGTGCAAAGTTGATTGCCTTCCCTGTGACCCATGGGTGCTGCAAAGCCTGCAGGGTGGTGAGGCGTTTCTTGGGGTCTAAAACAATCAACTTTTTAACCTGCATCACAAGCAAGAAGTACAAAAGACTGTCAACCTTTTTCTTCATTTGGATTTACCTAGCTTTGCATTTGGGGGCTCTGGTCTTGGTTTAGGGAGCATCTTAKGTGAGACAATCTAAGAAACCAACAAGAATTTTCATATGTGTCTTTGCAAGTATTTTGMTTCTGGCATTTCTTGGTCCTCCATAAAAAACATCTGATTAAGACAGCCACTAAGGGGGAAGAGAGAAGAGAAAGAATCAACTGGTTACCAACATATTAAGARCATGCACCAATGCAAATGACCTATATCTGTCATTGGCTGTTTCATGTCTGAATTGTCATACAAATCCTAAGAGATTCTCAGAATAACCCAGGCTCCTCTGAGCAGCATCTCTACTTTTGCATTTGGACAAGTTTTAAACTGGATTAGAAATTTTAAATTATAGTGTATGCAGCTCATGGAGACTTGAGTGCAGCTCATGGTGCCATGCAGTCCTTGTCAGGTACATCACAAAGGAAATATTTCCTTCAGTCCCTGTAAAACCTCATGTACACATAAAAAAAGCACTGTAAAGCGTTTCTGTCTTAGCCCACTTGGAAAATTAATGTTATTTCCTTTTGTCACTAGGGCCAGCAAACCTGCTCTTCTACAAACATGACTATAGGACACTTTTTGGGGAAAAGGCCCTGCAAACATTTCCCTGGGACTGGAGATGGTCCTGCTGGATTCAAAGTGTGTCCAGTCCAGCAACATTCCATAGGTTTTATTGTATCTCTGGTGTTTTTTAAAAAGAAGAAGGGTGAGAATGGAGTAACAAGTGCACAGATGACACTCTGGAGAGCCGCACTCAYCCAGCTGTCCTGACTGAAGACCCTCTCGGAGCAGAGTGCAAGTGATGACACAGGGCTCCACTGCTCCTGTGTGCCCAAGAGTGAGGGTAAACTTGTTTTAGGGTTCTCTGAAATTTCCCTACAAAGAGTTCTTAAAGAAAGTTGGTACCCTGAAGTGGGTGCAGGAGAACAGGCATAGTGGAACAGGCACACTGGTTGTGTCTCCAAGAAATACCTTGAGTTAAGCAAATCAGTTCAACTGAACCCAGAATTGCTCAACATGGGTTTTGAGAGTCATAGTAATCATCCTAATTTACAACTTGTTTTACAGTGTTCAAACCTGAAACTTTGACCTTTATTTCACTAAAATGGTATGGAGCAGTTTGGACAAAAGCTTTAACTGCAGGCTTCTGTTTATCTGGAAGTAAATSATATTTTTATTTTTTTTTACTTTAGAAAAACATCATATCTCACAAAATAACAAAAAAAGTACTTGAACTTCTAAAGTCCTTCCCTTTGAAATATCCTGATGTACTTCACTAACACCAATTACTTTATAATTTGTGGCACAATTTGTAAAAGTAATATGGAACAGAGCACTTGTGTTTTCAATGCTAATGAAATAACTGAATTATGCAAGTTATTACTGACAAAAGTCAGACTCAAGCATACCTATCTTTGGAGATCAGTGTCTCTTGGATCCAAATTACTTTATCCAGTAATAAAAGAATACAGTCCAGATAGCATGCCAGCCCTTGCATTTTGCTAATGGACCATATTTAAAAGTAAACAGTCTTTTCTCACCTACTAAAAAAAAAAGCTTAAATGGACAGAAAAGGTGTATCAGAAAAAGCAGAGTAGGGTGGGGGGGGGAAGTCTCAGTCTTTTTTATATTCTTCCCCCCAAAATTCAGGCTTGAAAACTGCAAAAAATGAAGGGCTTGTTTCTACATTCATTCCCCTGAAGGTGTTTACCCAGAAAACAGGAACAGTGAAACACTTCAGAGCTGGAAGGAAAGGCAGGCAGACATGAACACTGTGACAGCTGCCAACAATCTGCGGCTTACTTCACAGAAGAACCTGAATATCCATGATTCTGAGTGCAAAATTACGGCACTGGATTAACTGCTCCATAATATAGCAAAGACAAGAAGAAAGAAACATGAACAATTAATTAAATAGTTATTCTGCCCCCACCCCAACAAGGACTCTTTCTCAATGGAAGCAGTACTATATACTCCAGTCTCATTTTTGCTTTACTTACTAAATCCTTGGCATTCAGAGACACATCATCCCACCAGGGGGACACAAAGTCATATTCACAGTTCAGGATTCTCTTAAACATGTACTGATCTCCCCTCTCATCATAAAATGGTTCAAAGCCACAAAGACTGCAAGAATAGAAAAGAAATACACTTATCAAAGATTAATTAGTCTTGGGTTTTTAGAAAGAGTTCATGATAGTATTTTTCCCTACTTTGTATCCCGTAGATCCCTTTGGGAAACCAGTCCTGGGTGTACTTATAAACTCCTAATTCTACAGAGCAGAGAGAAATGTGGTCATAAGTATTCTTAAACACTGGGAAAGGCTCTTATTGTAATTTTTCTATTTTCCCATGYGTTTAATTGGAACTATTAATACAGGATCATAGAGCATTTATCAGAATCCCTGTAACTGTCACCAGAGGAATAGGAATTAGCTGAGGAAACCCATTTTAGGTATGAAGTTAGAAGTTTTTATATGTCCAGTTAGGACTGATTTTTAGTTCATCCTTGTACATTGTTTCATACTATAATTCACAGTATGTAAAAACCTCTGTTAGATTTTCATGATCAGCCCTCATCTTTACTTAGGTAACCTACATGCAGTCTAGAAATCTTGTGATCTCACTAAYGACTGCATTTATGAATATATTGAATAATACAGATCCCAGCAGAGATCCACACTGCTGGCCCCAGGGACAGCAGACTCACAGAAGTGGTTTCCATTTGTATAATGTCTTTTTTTATTGCCTCACTGCACTTTAATCTCTCCTCCACACATAATCAGATTTTTTAAAGTGAATTTCCTATYTAGCCAGTATGTGATCTGAGCTTAACAGAAAGTCTATGTGCTACTCTTCCTCCAGAAAATGCAACAAGCACTAAGATGATGAGAGGAAAACAATGGTAGATCATAAAGATTAAGACAGCAACAAATCTAGAAAAACCGTACATTTTTACTTGTTTTTGTATAGTCAAACACAGTCAGTKTGCTTAGTCCTGAAAAAGGAGGCTGAGGTTCAGTGAAGAAATGTGGTTTTGGGAGTGGTGCATAGCTGTGGGTAGAATAGCTGCATCAAATTCTACTGCTGAAGAGGAGAAACACCTCATTGTAAGCACATTCTGGGCAGATTACTTTTCCAAGCTGGCAGAAGTGTATTAAAACATAAGGATCCAGCCTCCAAGCATCATGTGCTTCAAGAGGTGGTGGCCAGCCAGAGTCCCTCTGCTGCTTTCCTCCTGTTTGCTACTTCTGCCAGCTCCACTTCTGGGCTTGCCCCAGGTCCCTGCTGTCTGTACGGAACACCCCTGAGCAAGGCACCTCGCTGGCTCAGCCCACACTGCTTTTTCAAATTGAGTAGCTGGTGACAGCAAGAACCAGCTGAAGCCTTTCTGTGACTGTGTTGGAAGCCTCCTAAGTGAATTTTCTATTTTCAATATAACTTACTACTATCACCTCTCGTTTTCTCATTAACAATTCTATAGATATGCCTCTATTTGAAAATCCATTTCAGCAGATGGACTTTTTTTTTTTGCTGCATGCCAAAATAGATGAATAAAATTAAAGGTGTGATTTCAAATTAGATTAATTATATCAGTGCAATACCAAGTGCAACTGGTCTTGATTTCATTTTATTTTGAAATAACATTTTATTATGGCAATTTATTTTGAATCAATTACCTACAAATAAAGGATGAGTCAATGGAAACAGCTTAAAAAACAATTAAAAATGACCAGATGGTACTTTGTCTCCTTTAAAGTAAGTTACTGAAATAACTTCTTTAATTAAATCCCTGGAATTTCAGCTACAGGCAAAGTCTCTATATTTGTTGATCACTATCTACATCTCAAACATGCAGAAGGATTTCCAAGCTGCTGTAGGAATACAAAAAGACTGTTCTTCTTGGCTTTTAAAACAATGCATGTGTCTTCCCTGGAATTATGACAGGTATCACCAATAMGTCTTAATATGCTTTACATCAAGAAAAACCATTCTGTCAAAATATGTGTCAAAGTTTTTTTTTGACCAAGTGGTAACTCCACTTTGATTAATGACAAGATACAGATTTGTGTAGATCCTCTGTGACATGGTTGTTAACTTTTATATCCACTCCATTTTAGAAGTAAGTACAGGAATGTATTTTTTTGACTATGTGTAAGAGGCTTTCCTCCACTGAACTGTGAGGCTGAGACGTACAACATTGTACACATAATAGAAGACTTTTTAAAATAGAATACTGTTAAAGCTAAATGGAAGAGACAATCAGGTGGATTTTTGCCTGGTTTGTCCCTGTAGATCAAATCGGGTTTTGAAGTGGGAATAGGACAGGATTAGGAGGAAGAATAGAAAATTCTGTACTGATGCAACACTATCCAGAGCATGAACTTACACACTTGTGTTTACACAAATGGAGAAATTCAATGTGGCTTGGGAGCAACCACAGAACAGCTGGAAGGTTTTGAGAAGATGCATATAGAAAATGCCATTCTGTATAATCAGATAGGAATTGTTTGGAGTTTGATTGGAGCTTGCCTACACTTGAAAACAAGTTCTGCTTAAGAAAGGCTCTTGGTTTCAAGTGCAACAACTTCATTAGGATTTGGATGAGTAGGAAAGGCCATAACTTAATTTAGATGACTTTGTAACGGGACAGCAAAAGTCGCCTCTCCAATCTTAGTGACCACCTTGCTGGCAAATTTCACTCCTGTTTGTCATGAGCGGAAGCTGTAGAAGCGACAGCAAATTAGCACCTGGCAGGCAATATCTGAGATGTGATCTTCAACACAAGGTTTGGGTCTTAAACCAGACCTTGAGACAAAGATATACATATKCAAAAAAGAGCAGATAAAAGGACAGTAAACAGGAATATTGTAGGTGATTATTTGCAGGAAACCGAAASGAGACCTGTGAACAATTTGAGGCTCATATGCGGAACAAACGATGTTTTCTGACATTACCATTAGAGTGTTTATATATCCTTACATGGGCTTTTAGTATAAACTCTAAAGAAAGTAATCCTTCCTTTGCAAAAGACAAAAGGTAAATAATTGTGTTATTGCATATTGTACTTCCTGGACATAGTTAATCCTAGTAGGGGAAGGACAATGGCCCACATGTATAAAATCTTCCACAGCTTTAAAGCACATATATAAAATCTCATATTCTTCCCATGAAAGATATCCTGAAAGTGTTGTATATAACTACAAAAAATCATCTTTGCATAGTCATTGCCAAGGGACTAAATTAAGTCTCATAATTATTGTCCCATAAAAAGAAGAGTCAATATATCATATGCAATTTCTCAGTAATCCTCCTTTGAAAGATTTAATCAATACAATAAAGTAATTATAATTCTTAGTATTGAATCATGACTACCCACAACATGACTAAGACACAAATGCCTACTTTTAGACACAACTGTTTGAAACTTTTGGTCTACACTCATTCACATTATTAGCATGATTCTGCACAGATCTTGCTGCTGTTCAGGAAGTAGTGTTATATTTATCAAATATTTAAATTGAGTGTTTTGTCATGCTCCTCTATGATTTTACTTACTTCAGTAAGATTAGGAATATAATAATTAAAGTTCAGAATCTTGTTTTTTCCAATGGCACAGCTCATAACATCATAAAATCCTGTGGGTGCTAAARAGTGAGCCTCTCTGTATCCCTGTCTGCACTTACAGGATGTAGGTGATAATCCCCAGGGACCACATGTCCACCTCAGGGCCATAGGCACATCCCCGTAGTATCTCTGGTGCTGCAGAGGACAAAACACTTGTCAGTAACACGAAAGCTGAGTGAAGAAATAATAGCCACAAAGTCAATTAAAGTCCATGCACACTTGTGTCTCCTATAAAAAGTTAAGGCTGCCCCTTTAAGACCTTAATTAGGCAAATTATTCCCTTCACTGTATATAAAACAACAGAAGTCATGCCCAAGCAGAGCTACAATAAAATGGGAAATGTACTTTTGTTTTGAATTGGTTTTTTTAGGTTTGTGAAAGGAACCACAGGAAGCTACAGCAGCCCTGAAGATACAGTGTGACCAAGAAGGTGGTGGTTCGACTTCAGGATTTTACTTTGTGTTTTTGTAAATACAATAGCAAAAATGGGGCCAGTGAAAATCTCCAGCCTTCATTGGATGCAGAGGTAAGCACTGGAATCAAGGATGAGGAAAAGTCTGAGGTACTTAATGAGGCCTTCTTTCATCAACCATAAGACCTGTTATCCTCAGGGAACCAGCCCCTGAGCAGGCAGAAATGGACAGGAGCAGAACAGGCCCCCTGTCATCCAGGAGGAGGGAGGCAGTGACTGCTGAGCCCCTCAGACACTCACAAGTTCTTGGGACCAGACGGGATTYATCCAAAGGTTCTGAGGCAGCTGGTGAAGGAGCTTGCCAGCCCCTCTCCATCACTGCTCACCAGTCCTGTCCAGCTGTGGAGGTTCCAGGTGATTTGGAGGTTGGCTAATGTGATGTCCATCCACAARAAAGGCAGGCAGTTCCCTGCAGGGAACTGCAGGCCCCTAGCCAGGGAAGGTCATGGRGAAGATAATTTTGGGTGATCACATGGCACATACAGTTCATGGGATCAGGCACAGCCAGCAGGAGAAAAGAGAGTCCTGCCTGAGCAACCTGATCTCCCTTTTATGAGCAGGAGATTCCCCRCGTGGGTGAGGGGAGGGCTGTAGATGTTGTCTATGGGGACTCCTTTGGCACTGTCTCCCACAGCATATTCCTGGAGAAACTCGCTGCTCATGGCTTGGACAGGTGCAGAGTCACTGGGTGAAAAACTGGCAGGACATATGGATCCAGAGAGTGGTGGTGAATGKAGTTAGATCCAGCTGGTGGCTGGGCACCAGAGGGGTTCCCCAGGGCTCAGTGTTGAGASCAGTCCTATTTTACATCTTTATCATGATCTGGATGAAGGGATCGAGGGCACCCTCAGTTAGTTTGAAGATGACACCAAGTCAGGAGGGGACTGGGAAAGATGTGGGATGTGGGTGGACAGGCTGGATCCATGGGACAAGGCCAATGGCATGAGGTCCAATGAGAAAAAATGCCAGTCCTGCCTGGCACTTGGACAACAGCCTCCTGCAGTGCTACAGGCTGGGGCCAGAGAAAATGGCCTCAGGCTTTGGCTAGGGGAGGTTTAGGGTGGGTACTGGGAAGATTTTCTCACAGAAAGGGTGGTTAAGCATTGAAACAGGCTGCACAGGGACATGGTGAAGTCACCATCCCTGCAGGTGCTCAAGAAACAACTGGACGTGGCCCTTAGTGTCATGGTTTACTGGGCATGGTGATGGTCAGTCAAAGGTTGGACTCATCCTTCTTGGAGGTCTTTTCTAGTCCTAGTGATTCTATGATYCTCTTCACTTGGCACTTCATTTAGGATTTATTTTTGATATTCTATTTTAGTTGGAAGGAAAGACAGGCAATTGCTTTTGCCGCAGTGAGGAGCAAACACAATGGCAAGGCAGTTTTGGGCATCTCCAACTTTGTGACAGTAAGGAGGAGTGAATGTCTGCCCAAGCAGCTTAACAGGCACTGCTTGAGGACTCTGGTCCCACTGGATCTGTGATGCACGTGGGGTGACTGCCACATTTCTGGAGCACAGTGGGCTGGCTGTACCTATATGCATCAACGTAATCTCTTCCCCTTCCCACACTACAYTTACACAGCCATGAACAGAAGGGCTTTCAGAATTTTTTAAGATTTCCAGAAGTTTGCTTTTGGTGAATGGATTTGTCTGACACATTGCTGTTAATTTAGATGTTGCCTGCAACAGACTGATCATGAATCACTGCTTTCACTGGCTTAATTTTTTTGTGCTACTCTCAGAAATTACTTATGCTGTTCTTACTATGTTCAGTGAAGGAACAACATTGCATCAAATAAGTTCTCCATGACAATCTTCTTGTTTTCCATCCTCTGCATCAATCTGCACATCCCGGGGACTGTAGATTAAAGTCTTGATGCCAAAATATTCAGACTCCAGTATGTGTTTTTGTTGTTGTGTCCTTCTGGAGAAGCTGCAGATAGATGGGTGGGCAGGATGTGGGATCTGGCAGTCCGGAACCATCAATTATTCATAGTTTAATTTGGCATTTAAACAATATTTCTCCCGGGTTTCCTCCAATTCTGGAAAGTAATGCTTGAATATTTTCCAGGCAACAGAAATTCTGCACGGTCAGTTAACTTGAGYTGTAAATCAAGGATTGCTATAGGCACATGACTGTAGGCACAAGGCTCCTTTCTTCTCTTCTCCAYAGAGATATTCAGCCTCTTCCCACTAAGTCAACACAGCTCTGAGGCTCTTCTGTGAGAATAAGCCTTATCCTGTTTTTATTGTACACAAAGATGGGCACAAAAAGGGTTAAGCACTAACTGTGGATGTATGGCACCGGTGGTGTGACTGTCATAAGAGGAGAAAAGCAGAACATTAATAGCTAATGTGTGAAATTCTGTCTTATGAATGTAACTGGGCTGGGATTGGGTGCTGCTCTAAAACAGAGTTGGCACCTGTGCATGCTTTGTAGGCAATGYCACACAGGGTAATGGACAATGACAATGTCACTCGAATGGCATTGCCAGCTGTGCTGCGGGGTATTAGAGTGATCTCATGGTCTTCTCCAGTGTCCTCTTTCCTTTGCCTCTACAKTTATAAAAGCAAATGTAAGTAACAAAACAACATACCACAGTACCCTGGAGTTCCACAGACTGTCTTCATGGTCACATGATCTTCCACAATCTTGGAGAGTCCAAAGTCAGCTGTTAAAATGGTTTGGGATTATTAATGTTCATACCTCCTGTAATAATGCATTTTTTAATATTGTATATGCAATGAAATAAACATTTATACATTAAATGAAAGGTACTGACATTTCCAGAGGTAAGCATTGATTTAAAGAATCTACCCAGGCTCCAATCCAGAAGYGAAATTTGCTGTACAAATGAGTATTCCTTGCTCTTGCTTGACAGAAATGTAGCTTGCATTTTATTCAGAAAACTGYACAAAGGCAGCACAGTGGGGGGCCTAAGGGCATACAAGTAGAGATCCAGAATTATATTTCAGGTATATATTCAATTTCCACTCTGTGAGTAATCCAGTCAAATTATCAGAAATATTTTGGGCTGCTTTTTTGGACAAGGGTTAGAGTATGTAGTGTCTGCAAGACAAAATCCTAGCAATGTTTTGATAAAAGGCTTCTAGAGACATAAAAATGGTACCAGACGAAACCTTCTTTTTGCAATATTTCCATCCTGAATTACTATTCAGAGAGCAAAGGCATGACAATACACACTGTGCTTGCATGACTCCTTTTTAAAAGTCATAAAAATTGAAGTGTTCACAACTCTTAATTTCCACTGAGAATAAATCGATCTTATTCCAAATTACAGTTTAGGTTATAACAATCACCTTTGCTGTAAAAATGCAAAATAAAAGTATTTGGTTTTGTTATACTGAATATAAAAGGGAAGGTTTTGACTTAAGATAGGATAAAAATAGGTCATTTGCTCCTAAATGGCTATCCTTTTATGTATTATAATTTATCTAATCAGAAATACAGCTTACTTTTATAAGCACAGTCACTCATTGCAAACCRGATTTCAATTCAAGCAAGGCAATGACGTTGCCAGGAAGATGAATTAATTGTGGCCTTTAGAAAATACTGTAAAAGCCCTACAAACTCTGGACGTCAAACCAAAGTCACTTGCACAGCATTAAATTTTCAAGTTTAGAGCTTTTCCGGGRAAGATAAGAACTAGGGTAAGATATAAATTAAGATAACCTCACCCTGAGAAATAAAAGGTTCCYAGAAATTTCTACTAAATTGCTTGAGGCCAGTTCATGGAAATTTGGGTCCAGAAACTCAGGATGAACACCAGCTTGATAAACATGGAAACACTACCCAGGGAGCGCCAGGTGGTATTTCCAAACTCATCTTATACGACTCAGAAGAGGTGCACAGATGCTCCTTGTTGCTCAAGCAAAAACTAAGCATGTACAGAATTTTTGGAGGCCATGCCCTTTGGAGGTAGGGTCTACCATCTCCAATAGAACTGGCAAAATACATTCCTGACCAGGGGAACCTTGTCCCTCCTCACCCCCTCTGTGGTGCTGACYGTGCTTCAGAGAGTTTCACTGTGCTCTTTGCAAAGATCTCTCCACATTCCTCAAATCCACCATCAAAACCAAAATTGGCCTTGCTCAGTTTACTTTCTACAAATTACCTGCACATTTTTGTTTTAAGGTCAAGTTATCTTTCCCCTGCAAGTACYAGTTTAACAGATAAAAAGGGCACAGATGGGGTGCATAGAGCTTTATGGTGTTCTCATGACCCTTCTTCTCAGTGCTTTATTCTCTGCCGCGTTCTGCATGATTTTGACTATAAATTCTCTAAGCAAGCGTCTAGCTTTGCAGTGGATTTGAAACCACCATGTACAGCTGTGCTGCTGAAGTAACCTGCTGTTCATCAAGCACTGGCTTCAAATAAATTACAATGATTGTGAGATGCATTTACCCCAAATATCAGCTGGCACACATTACTGACACAAAGGCGTCAGGGAAGCGTACATTTAATGCTGCTCACCAATTTTTAGTGGTGCATCTGGTGCTGGTGTTGCATAGAGTAGATTTTCTGGCTTCAAATCCCTATGCACAATCCCATTTGCATGCAGGTACTAAAAAAAGAGAAAATCAAAGCATGTAAGTCAGAATGGTCAAGCATGAGCTGAAATCTTTCTAATTCTCCATAGCAGCAGATTAGTATTTTCTCCGTGTGAGAMACAGAGTTGCTTCACTAATTTTCAGCAGCTCATTTTTCTGCAAACCTGCTCAGTGTAAGATCCTTGGATACATACTGTAATTTGAATAGCAAAATGAAATTTGGGAAGGCATCATGTCCATTTAAGAACAAAAACATCTCAAAAAATATTATTGGATTTTAAATACAGCAGTAGCTCCTAAGAAGCAATCTAATAGATGTTGAAATGCTGAAGTCTGGCTCAGAGGAAGGTAGTTTTTGCACATTATAATATTCTGAGAGACAGGAAAATGGTGACATAACTATTTCAAAATGAAACAGAYATATTTGAATAGAAAGGATGCATTAGATGTCCTGGGCCAGCTTGGGGTCCCTTGCTCCAGATGTGTCACAAGTTTTAAAATCACCCAGTTGCAAAGTACCAAAAATCCATCTGTCTTGCCAAAGCACATGCAGTACATGTGATTTCATTTACCATTGAATTCCTGCCTTGCACTAATGGAAAGAAAAAATTCGAGAACCTGTGGCTGCCACTTAGCACTGCTATGGACAGAAATGGAAAAAAAAATATAATATACACTATACTAACAGAAAAAAAAAAAAAGGATAAACTAGTGAAGAAATTCTGTTTTACTTGTTGATAAAATATTCATACAAAACTCTGAAGTCTTAGAAACGCTTAAGGGTATCTTATTTGAAAGTCTTATGTTCTACATTTTAGTAGCATCTCTCTCAGCTGTGTTTTCATGACTAAAAAAAAATCCAGTCTGTGCTCACATTTATGCAAGAAATGACAAATGGTTAAATATTCACCTAGAAAAAAACAGCAATAATGTCCGAATCTGTAGTGAATTCTTGACTGTGTATCTCATTGGAATTTTAGTTTGTATAAATTACACGTGAGGAAATAACATTAAGGAAGAATACATTGCTCTGTCCTTAGGTGTTGTTKTGGCAACACTGTGTGCTTTTCATGTGTGTTTCTCACAGTGCAGTTAGCGGTTTTTATTGACTTTCTCTGCAATCCTAAAGTCACAGGATTTGTCACAATGTGGCTTTTGGAGATCAGCCAAAGACTATCATATACCTTACTTCACAGTGAAATATAAGTGTTTGTTCCAGCTGTTTTCTACATTGAGATAGCTAATAAATTATCCAAGGTGAAAACAGATAACAACATATGGAAACTGATGGATTCCACACTGCTACATCATTAAATGCTGCTACATMTGCATGGCTGCAGTCATGTCTATCCTGCATAAAAATATATCTTCATCTGCCAGTGGAGAYGTAGCCCCCACAGCACAACAGTAAYGTGTTTGATGTGCAGAGGTAATGGTGGTGCACAGGAAGTGGACCAAAAGCCATCAAACTGGGGTGGACAGAAAAAGGTGTCTGAACTCATCTGTGCTCATGTGCTGCAGATCAGCTGACCTGCCTCTGTAGGAGTGAGAAGGATCAGGCATTTCACTTCCAATTCATCTGCACAAAAAAATCCTTGACCAAATTTGTGCAGGTGAATGTTCCAGACAAGTTTGCAGTCTTTTAGCAGGTCCTTTTTAAAACATGCCCATAATCTTAAAAACATTTTATGCTGTGAGGYTGAAAACATAGAAATTTTCTTCTCTCTCCAGAAACACATTTATGTGGGAGGGAATTTTGTGAGAAGCTGTTCAACTTTTCCTCCCTTTTAAGTCATAAARTGAGACGAGCTTGTGGGGCTTCTTCTCAGACACAGCAAGAACCATAACTGGCAACATCTGCTAACCACGCTTGTGCCTCATGACTGACTTTTTAAACAATTTGTGCTGAACATGGAGTGGGAACTGGGTGTTTTTGGTTGTAAACTCACAAGACCCCAGGTAGGAAAATTTCCCTCCTCTGTCCAGCCCACCATCTGCATAAAACTCTCAGGTTGCCTAACAAATGAAAATTTCCTCAATCACCTAAAMCACACTTTTCAATGATTGCCACAGCAGTAGTCTGAGCTCTCTCTCATGTGCCCTCATCACAACACCTACAGCTGCTCCCTCTGCACCAGACCTCCCCTGATCTTCCCAGTGTCTAATCCATAATTCCTGCCCAGCAGAGCTCCTCCTCTGACATCTCTCTGCAGCCCACTCAGGTCCTGCTGCAGTCACACCCTAAAACCAGTTCCTGATGCTCTGTCCTCTCTCTTTTGCTGTTTCTCCTGCTTGACATATTTGGGCTGTGACAGGATATGCACATGACTGGGGCTGCCTTGTGCTGCCAGCTCCTGGGTTTATCAGTGCTACTGCTGGCAGCTTGTAATGTCCATAACACATCAGGTTTTTTGAGTTTGACCAATAAGGGCAAYATTTTTTTTGGTGAACTAACAGAGAAAAGGGTACTGTGATAAAAAAACCCCAAAGCCTATCCAACAAAAGACCCCCAATATTTTTATTGATGAAGATAGCCCAATCTTCATGGAAATACCAACTAGACTTGTGGACTGCCAGCCCTCTGAGGGGAGAGACAGCTGGCTGGACTTCTGTAAAAGGTGTCTGTCTCCAAAACCAGCCTTGTTACTAAAGGTTTCTAGCAGATGCAGTGACCTCCCGTTCTCCAGCCTGAGTCACCTGTCACTCACTGAGAATGCTTCCTGCTCCACAACTCCCTTGCAACACTCTGTCCATTTTCAGCACTGCCCTCTTGCTTAGTAGATACCCTGGCACTGACCTGTTTGCAAATTTTCATCTGCTGCCCACGTAGTGTTAGAGCTCCTGGTATTGACCGCTACTTGGTCTTGTATCAACATGAACAATATTTTGAGCTAAATAATTCTTAGAAACAGGTTTGGTTAAATTAGCATAATCCAGTTTGTGTAGCACTTATCTCAGTTTATCTGTGCCGTATTTTGATTGCTCTCACTTTATTTCTCATACACCAGTTTTAATAAAAGTTATGTTCCTTTTCAGGCAGAGYCTCTGCAGCACATGTTCAAAGACTTTCCCATTTTGTAGACCAACTTAGGGCATTGCACACTTCCATTGTGAAAGAGGCATCCTGTGTTCTTCTATTTATGTGCTATGTCTCTTAATGACTAAGTTATGTGATCAGATGAGAGGATCTGGGGCCAGGTATYGTGCCAGAGTTCACTTTATGTACCAAGGCATGGCTGAATTATGTCACTGTCTCCACCTGTAACGTATGGATGAGACTTGGAAAAGATTGTATTTCTATGGCTGGATGTAGAGTTTGTAAATACACAGCATGTCAGAACAGTTCAACATAGTGTGTGCATTAAAATGTGATCATTATGTGGTGCCCTTACACTAGCTAAAATATCCTGTTTTCATTTCAGATTTTTAACAGAGAATGCCAGCCAATAAAAGAAAACCAAGACATTTCAGGTAATCTGGGAGAAAAGTTTTACGACAAAATTGAGTAGCATGGTCTTATTACTCTTTGATAAACTTTGAGGTCAGACTCATCATAGCCCTAGGTCATGCTAGTGTGACACACAGGCCCTTCTCTGCAGGACTTGCTTGTGATGAAGGCAGCCTTCATCTTGGCCTTTGCTCCTGGAGTACGTAACAGCAACTCATGACTGACCAGCTTCCGTGACTTTAATATGGCTGCAACACAAAGACTTCTTTTCTTTTTTTTTTTTTTTTTTTTTTTTCCTCCCCTAAGCTTTTTTCCAACTACTGTGTGAGAGTTTCTTTTGTTCTTTATTTTGTTGCTTAATAATTCAGGTACCTATCTAACTTGAAAGATTTTATGACAAAAGGACAAATGCAAACTAYTTAAAACTCTGGCCTTATCCCTTAATTTTATTTATGGTACCCATTACACAGAACTGTAGAAAACGAGGGCTGTAGTGAACCTGAATCATTTATTCCTCTCCTTGGCAGCATCAATACACCTACAGCAGTTTGTTCAGTTTATTCCTGCAGACCTCTGCAACTAGAGGCTCCACAATTTCCCCAAGCAATTTGCTACAGAGCTGTGATTTTCTGACTGTTACAAGGTATTTCTCTGCAACTCACCTGGATTTTGACAAAGCCAGATGGAGCACATTACTTTGTTTCTGGTATATGGTAGAGGCAGAGAGCAGATTATCTTTAAATACTTGTTACCTTGTACACAATCATACAATCATTCTTTTCTCTAAGACTGATGGGATTTTGCTTGCTCAGTCCTTTCTGGACTTGTGGTCATCCTTCTTCTCTCTCCAGGCAAGTGCCAACTTGCATTAATGTGTTAAAATGCAAAAATACATTCCAGCTGTGACCTGAAAATCTTTATAGAATGTATTAATAAATATATTTGCCATTTTTTTCAATATATACCGCTCTTGTCTGCCTTTTGATCCAGTGTAACCTTCAAATACTTTCTCTTTTGTTCCCACTGTCTATGACAGTACAAAAAGGACATTTGAATTTTAGTAAAGTTATTTTATTTCTACTCTGCTACATACTTGCAGGTCTCTCCAATTTTATAGCATACAAAACTTTTTGTAAGCATACCTTCTATGCCATCATATGACATTGTCAACAAAAACACTAAAACAGAAGAGCAGAAAAGGCTTCTCCTGAACCTCCACTTTTGATCTTTAAACAAGCTAACAGACATTCTCAGTAGAGACAACCAGTCCCCATCCAACTTAAAATCACATAATCTTGATAATATTTCTCTAATTTATTGTGAGTCTGTCAGATGAGTCAAATACAAAAAGCTTCACTCATTGCTTCACTCAAGTGGGTACAATAGGTTCAGTTTCTTCCCCACTAAAAATGTCTCTCACTGTGTTTGAGAACAAGTCAGACTGATTTGGCATGGCTTGATCTGAACAAAACCCTGCCTTGCTGGTGAAGTTTGTGCCTTGTTATCCCACAGGTGTCCCCTTGTACCTTTTGTTCAGCATTACTTCATTATTTATTTCAGATGGTT